GGGGGGGGGGAGGGAACAGGTGGCAGGGAGATCCTGGCGTTGTGGTTAGATGATTAATCGTGGTTCGACAGGGGGTCCTTGGTTTACGGCCATAAGGCAAGGGAGCCTGCCAGTCGTGGTCATAAGTCGCGACAGTCATAAAACGGACCAATCGTGGGACCGAGCCCCATTCTACAACTGTGATTTTTGTGGCTTTTTGTGGATTTTGTGGATTTTTGTTGTCACTTTGAGCAATTGTAAGTCAAGGCCAGTTGCAAGATGAGGATCTGTTCTGTTCTGTTGTATTCTATTCCTATTCAGTATTTTATTATTCTGTTCTGTTCTGTATTTTATTCCTATTCTGTATTTTATTATTCTGTACTGTTCTGTTCTGTATTTTATTCTGTTCTGTTGTATTTTATTCCTATTCTGTATTTTATTCTGTTCTGTATTTTATTCTTCTGTTCTGAATTTTATTATTCTGTTCTGTTCTGTATTTTATTGTTCTGTTCTGTTCTGTTGTATTTTATTCCTATTATGTATTTTATTCTGTTCTGTATTTTATTATTCTGTTCTGTATTTTATTATTCTGTTCTGTTGTATTCTCTTCCTATTCAGTATTTTATTATTCTGTTCTGTATTTTATTATTCTGTTCTGTTCTGTATTTTATTATTCTGTTCTGTATTTTATTATTCTGTTCTGTTGTATTCTATTCCTATTCAGTATTTTATTATTCTATTCTGTTCTGTTCCGTATTTTATTATTCTATTCTGTTCTGTTGTATTCTATTCTTGTCCAGTTAATTACTGCAGCGTGGTTTGTGTGGATTTTTAGTTACGGTTTGTATGTACTTTGTTTTTGGACTTAATTTTCTGCAGTCAAAGGCTGTTCCTGGGAGAGTTTTTATCCAGCTGGACATTGGGGGCAAAGTTGGAGATAGTAAAGGGACTCTAATTGCTAATTTGACTGTGTTGCCTTTGTACCATGCCCCGGATCATCACAATTCTATTCTACTCTGTATTTTATTATTCTATTCTATTCTGTTCTATTCTGGATTTTATTATTATCTTCTCTTCTCTCTTATTCTATTCTATTCTATTCTGTTCTGTTTATTATTCTATTTTGTTCTGTTACTATTCTGGATTTTATTGTTCTGTTCTATTCCCTTTCATTCTGTTCTGTAGCTTATTATCCTCTCCTCTCCCCTCTTCTATTAGTTGCAGTAAATTCTAGTATAGCACAATGGGACAAATCCAGACACCATGGCTCATGAATGGTGCTTTATGTCTGGTGACCAGGTTGAGTGGCTCAAACCATGGCTCAAACAAGCCATGATTCAAATACCCCTACCCAAAAGCTTTAGATGGGCCTATTTCTCAAGCTACATGTTTTGACTGAGCCAGGCCCAAATTCAAACCCTCCTTTTCTGTTATCCTTATTCTCCCTCTCCTACTTTGCAGGGCTGTTGTGCGAATAAAACCGAGAGAGGGTGAAAATTAAGTGTTTTGGATTACTTTAGAGCAGTGTTTCTCAATTTTGGAAGCTTTAAGAAGTGTAGATTTCAACTCCCAGAGTTTCCTGGCACTAATGCATTCCTTTTGATGTGGCCTGTTTACTCTTTTATAATCCTTTTCTCTGCAATCTCTCTGCTTTAAAGGATAAGAGGGGGAAAGAAACCAGGCATGGCTGGTTGGGGAATTCTGGGAGTTGAAGTCCATCCTTCTTAAAAGCTCCCAAGCTTGAGATACACCGGTTTAGAGGAAAGAGGGGGTTGATGAAACCATGGGAGAAGGAATCCACCGGGGATCTTAGGCCGTTGTTTGGTCTTGGGGCACGGCCACCAGGGGAAGGAGACGAATCCATCTTACCGGGACCAGCAATTCGTTCGGCAAGATGAACAAGCCGCCTACTCCGATGCGCATCTGAGGGGCGGGCTGGTTCACGATCGGGTGGGAGACGTGGCTGAGGGTGAGTTGGTCGTCTCCGTCGACCAACAACATCACGTAGTGTCCTTCGTTCCTCACCGTGATCTGGCCGGAGGTCACAAGAGAAGTTGCGTACGGGAATAGAGGAACAGGAGGGTCAGAAAGAATCGGGGGATACCCACCCCCAACAAGAGGACGTGGACAACATAGAGGTGGGGCAGGGGGCGCTCTCCTTTAGCTGATAGGTAGTCCTCGACTTACGACCAGCTCCATTTCAATGCGTCAGCCTGCGGAACTCCCTGACACAAGATGCAAGCAAATATATGAGAATAGCTTTTGACTGACAACTGTTCGTTTAGTGTTTTCTCCCATTTTTTCTTCTTCTCTTTTTCCCTTCCTTCCTTTCTTTTTATCTCCATCCCTTTCTATCTCTCTTTCCCTCTCACTTTTTCTCCTCCTCTCCCTCCCTCTTCCTTTCCCTTTCTCTCTTTTCTTTCTGTCTCTCTCTTTTCTCCTCCCTTTCTCTCTTTTGGTCCCTCCCTTTTTCTTTTTCTCTCATTTTCCTTCCTTCTCTTTTTCCCATCCTTCCTTTCTTTCCTCTCTCTTTTTCCTCTCTCTTTTTCCCCTCTCTTTCCCTCCCTTCCTTTCTCTTTCTTTCTCTCTCTCTCACATTCTTTCAATCTCTCTCACCCTCCCTTTCTCTTTTGCTCCGTCCCCTTTTCTCTTTCTCTTCCTTTCTTTCGTTTAGTGAGCTACAATGGCACTGGGGGGAAAAAATGACTTCTGATCATGTTTTGCACTTACGACCGTTGCAGCATCCCCTTGGATCACGCGACTGAAATTCAGACTCTTGGCAACTGCCTCACATTTATGACAGTCGCCGTATCCCGGAGGTCATGTTGATTCCCTTTTGCGACAAGCAAGGTCAATGGATCTGCTTAATGGCCGCACGATTCACTTAACGCCGGCGGCTACTCAATCAACGACAGGGGCGAAAAGACAAGGCGCCACGTCACTCAACGACCTTCCTCGCTTAGCAACGGCAATTCTGGTCTCGATGGTGGCCGTAAGCCGAGGACCGCCTATCACCCAGCCACCCCATCTTACCTGATGCCACTGGCCATCGTTGAGGCGCTGCCCTCCGGAGACGGTGACGTTGGTGAGGGTGTTATGGATCTGCATGATCGGTTTCCCCCGACGCAACGCGAGGACGAACCAGTCATCGTCAGGACCGGTGTCCCCATAGAAGATCACCCCTTCCGGGTCAAAGGTCCGGAAGTCGAAGGAGGAAGCTGCACTGGGTGGGGAGGAACAGGGAGGGTCTCGGGGGGGAGAAATCAGTGGGCCAGTCTTGCTGCAGACCCCTCCTGGATGGGGAAGGCACGGCACCATCCATACCTCCTTTCTTTTTCTCTTTCTCTTCTTTCTTTCTGACTCTCTCTTTTTCTCTGTTTTTGTCTGTCTCTCTCCCTTTCTCTTTCTCTCTATCATTTTTTCCACTTTTTCCTTCTCCCTTTCTTTTCTTTCTTTTTCTCTCTGTATCTTTCTCTTTTTCTGTATCTGTGTCTCTCTCTTTTTCTTTTCTCTTTCTCTCTCACCCTTTCTTTTTCTTTTTCTCTTTCTATCATTCTTTTTCACTTTTTCTTTCTCTCTCTTTTTCTGTCTCTTTCTTTTTTTTCTCTCTGTCTTTCTCTTTTTCTCTATCTTTGTCTCTTTTTCTTTTCTTGTTCTTTTTCTCCTTTTCCCTTTTATCTAGCTTTCTTTTTCTCTTTCCTTCTATCATTCTTTTTCACATTTTCTTTTTCTCCTTTTCTCTTTTTTCTTTCTGTCTCTCTCTTTCTTTTTCTCTCTGTTTCTCTTTCTCTGTCTTTGTTTCTGTCTTTTTCTTTTCTCTTTCTCTTCTTTCTTTCTGACTCTTTTT